GAAGGTTTTGAATATTGTGTTTCTTTTGAGGGTAGATTTAGGCTCTCTTTATTTGAATATAGACTTTCGGAAGGCATTTCAAAGCCTGACGATAGGATTAAGGTTTGGAGAGTTAAAATTCTATAGAATTATATCGAAATAATAAACTTAATAGAGGCTATAATATGAAAAGAAACGATGTACGAGTAGGTAGTCAGTCTGCGGTAAGTTAAAACTTACAAGTTCATTAATAAAGCTAAGGTTAAAGTATATATTTTGTTTGGTAAATGGATTTATGTAATTAAATCAGACTCTGAGGGCTACGTCATTCGATTTAAGGTCCACTAAGTGGTTTGCGGTAATTAGCAGTGACTGAGGATTGATTTTGATTCTATCTACTCTCTAGTAGCGAGATTGAAGTTAATGTGTATTTTTCTATATAGTGTGGTTATACGAAAGCTAACTGTTGATTAAATTGACTATACTATCGTCTATTTTAATGTAGTAATCGATAGTTGTTTTGTATTTATATAGCAACCGACTGGATTTGAAAAATTAGACGAATTTAACGAGGAGCTGGTCTGTCAGCTACTATAAGCGCTTTACAGACTATGTCAGATATTATACTTGTAGTATAATACGATTATTACTGCCTTCAAAGCATTAGGATTCGAATAGCTTCCGGATGAATCCTATATTCTTTTCTATTGTGAGCGCGGGATTTGGTTACTACTATACGTCGACGATATTTTGATTGCTGTGTAGGATTTAGTTTAGATTTAATAGTTCAAGGATTCGATCCTATTTGTTTATAAAGATATAAGTGCTCTAGTCTACTTTTTAGAAAGTGTGTTTATACATAATAAGAAAGGATTCTTTTTATATTAAAAATCCTATATGGAAGAAATTCTTCAAGCTCTAGGAGCTAAAATCTTATCTATATCTATTCTAATAAAGATAATGTATAAGCCTCTCTTCCAAATATGTATGAAGAAAGATGTGGATATACATTCAAATCTCTTAAAGAATGTACTAATAGTTAATAAATCGTTGATGAAGGCGTACTTAGAGGATATCAGGAAGGTGTTGTAGATATGTAGTTAAAGTCGTTCGGATATTGCTCTGGTAATTAATCGTCTATAGAGAAGAATAGCTGCTCTACGCAAGGAAGATGTTGATGCAGCAAAGCATCTGTATCACTTTTTGGTAGGAACTATTCAAAATAGTATCTGATTGGATAAAGATCCTAGAAAAGGGTTTATTGCATATGTTGATGTATCGTATGCTGATTGCGAAGATGGGAAATCGATCGAAGCGTATGTTATTATGTATGTAGGTTCCCCAATATCATGGAGATTAGGCAAGCAGTCGATTGTCTACCTCTCTTCCACCAGTGCAGAATTCGTCGCGTTCAACGCTGTGGTGTAAGAAGTGATGTGGATCCAGAAGTTACTACAGCAAATGGACCTTCCGGTGGAACTTCCTACAATCGTGCATACTAACAGTGATAATGCATACGGAATTCTCATGAAGGATGCCTATGCGCGGTCTACTAAGTGGATTGATTTACGCTACAGCTTCGTCAGGGATGCAATGAGAAGAGGCATTATGAGCTTCAATGTCATAGAAAGCAGCCAAAATCTCGCGGATGCACTGACTAAACCGCTTGGTCAGCCCCAATTCAGCACTCTTACCGATCAGCTGGTCGGCAAATGGGGATAGTTGGGAGCACCATGCACCAATGGAGTCCTAGAACCCAGGAGGAAGGGGGGGAATGAGCCTCGGAGACCTGGGGGATGGGTGAGTTCACCGAATTTTACAATGGGAATGAACCACTAAACGCTAAAAACACCAAAAACGGGGTATTTGAGAATCAGAGGTTGATTTGGGGGTGCTTTTTGGGTTGTGTCTCAGGGGGTGTGTTGTGAGGGATGTTTGCCACAACCCCCGATTGTAGATAAGATCCTACTTCCATAGTCCTTCTCTCCTCTCTTCTTTCTCTCTCCCCAGAGATCAATAAAATCGGTTCTTTCGATCCCTCTGCTCTCTCAACATATAGTAATCAAATAGGTATTTGCCTCGTCAGCGACGATGGCCTTCCCCAGGAGGAATGAATAGTAATATACATAATCAGATAGTTTGATACATGGTGTCGGCGCCTTCCACTGTAGCGTCTGGCAATTGGCCAAGCAAAGAATTGGGGAAAGGACCGTAGCCCATCGTATGTTCGGCAGGTACTGAAATATTCAGCCGAAGTTGAGGATCAAGATTTGAACCCATGAGAGTCGACCTCGTTTGAGGGCTCAACGTGTCCTGTACGTCAAGCATCACTTCCGGTCCGTAAGAAATGTCTTGGGCGGGGAATGCTGGAAGCCAGAGATCTTCGTCCGTTGCAGTGCCCATTTTATTCCCCCATTCGTAAACAGGTGGATCAGTGGAGATTGCACTGGAGGCCCTTTCGCCTTTGGTATGTGCTCGGGGAATGTCATTTGCAGGCCGCGCATAGTCAAAGTCTTTTGACTTTTGACCAGGGAATAGTGAATCGAGTTGGCTGGAGACTTGGCGGTCAAGAATCCTTTTGATCCGCGCTCGGATGATCTCAATGCTTCGATCCAGACCAGGCATAGCTGCGGCAGTACGTTGAAGTACGTCCAGCAGAAATTTTAATTCTGTCCAGGCTGACTGATATGATTGTGAGGATTGCGATCCTGCCTCCGATGTTTCTAGTTGATATACAGCAGTTGTAGCAGCCATATAAGTGTAATAACTGTTCATGTATGTGATATGATGATATCCAAAAGTATCAATATACAATTTGAGAAGATTGTATATCGCGGTGGTTGCCCCTTGACATATCTTCCAGCTCTCTCGGATCGCAGCAGAGGAAGGTACATCCCCGCCTGCAACATGAGGCCGATGAAGAAGAATCAGGGCATTGTGATACATCAGGTTGAGCGAAGTGATGTGCGGCGGTGGACTCATTTGAGGCATATCATTGCACGGTATATGTAGGAACGACGGCAAAGATGAGTGCCAATCCTGTAGCTCCTTTTTGATCTCGATAAAGACAGTCATTCGTGAATCTGGGGAATTGTCCGAGTGTCTGGCGGACTGCGAGCTATAGAGTTCTAGCATCACTCGCGTGAGAATTTTGCAGAGTTTGCATAGCTCTGTGAAGCAGGACATAACATGGCCTGGGGTTGGGGGATATGGAGGGAGCTCTCCAGACTTTGGATCTGGTCCATAAAATGGTACCCAGGGATCATGGTCAGTGAAGTCGTCCAGAAACTCCAATGATACGTTTTCAGCGCCCATCACGAAATTTGGCATCCTCCCTAGGTACAAGCTGATATGCTTGTCCCAGGCGTACATGCTCCAAAAGAGACGTTTTCTGATCTCAATATCCTCTGATGAGAGCGAGGTAGAATATTGTTGGAGTTTGTCGGGAGAGACGTGTAGGCCAAGATCAATGGCCTACGAAAAGCCATGCCGGAATAGAGCCATGCAGAGGAAGACTGACCACAAGCAACATCTCTAGCTGATTGCTGAAGTAATGCTTGGATTGTAGGAATAGCAGGGAGATTCAAAGTTTCCATGGCCAGCAAGGCCTTTGCCTCTGCCATCAAACGGTCTGAAAGTTCCTGAAACGACTCTCTATGACTATCCGGGCTCCACAGCATATCTGGTGACCGGATAAATCGACAACTGTGGGCATAAAGCACCTTTACAAGGGTGGAAGAGCAATGTGTAGCGGATCGATCCCCACGCGCAAGTAGAGGCATATCTCCCGTGAAAGCGGGGCGGTAGACGAAAAGAAAACTCGGATGCAACCAGCACCAGTGTAGCTGCAGTAAAGTACTAGCAAGATCATAGGATAAATTTGCCAATGACTGGGATGCATCCAAGTTCATAATTTCTAAGCCTTTTTGTGTGGCAGCATTGGCCACCAGTTCTTGTCTGATATCTGCTGCTCGGCTTTTGTCTGTCAATGACGATAACGGGGATGCCACATACAATGGCTGAGAATTCTTCTGCGGTAGATCTTCATGTATAGCAGATGTCTGGTTATGGTAGCCAACATCGCCCAGCGCATCCAGACTTATAGAGTCGCCGCGTTGGTTGCTGAAAGTCGAGCCAGCAAAAGACGGGCTGGATGGAGAGGTTGACTGTGTGCTAGCATTGCGCTCCAGCTCACAAATGCGAGATTGCAACGAGCGCACATAGGCAAGCGAGGGCGACTTATCATAGTGGCAAGGCGAAGCACTGGCGACACAAGCGGAGCACCTCGGCGAAGCCCCATCGCATTTGCTTTTCCGCCGCCTACAAGTCGAGCATACGATTTTCTGATGTCTCACCATGGCTTCATGGAAAAAGTGAAGAGGCGAAGCACGCTTTCACCAAGTCTACTCAGCAGAAAAGGAAAAAAGGGAATTGGGGAGGCAGAATTGCCGGGGAAATGGGAAAGAGTGGGGAACACCCCACGCTTCCCCATTCAAGCGGAGCCGTTAGGCTTGGAAATCAGCTTTATATGTATCTATTATGGCCTATTATGGCCCATTATGGCCTATTAAATTGCTAGTAGGAATGGTATGTAGTAGTTATTCTCTCGTAATGAGCTGCTACTCACTCAGACATTCCTCGTCGACCCCATACAGCTCTTTTTTACAGGAAATTTGGGTCGTGCGCTGACCCCGTAAAGACGGCTCTTCCAGCCTTGTAATCTAATTGGCTGAGATATAAAGCATGACATTACCATGGCGTTCCACGTGACCTGTACTAAAGTCTATGGTCGGGATTTGCCTGTGTTTTTTTTCACTGTTTTTGGCGTTTTCAGCCCCCAATCATCGCCCTACGAGATCTCAGGATCCGGGGCAGCCGGTTGAATCGGAACTGAATTATAAAATCCCACGTTTTCAAGCGATCCACTCAAATCTGATGCAATTCTAGCCTATACATTCTCATAAATATAATACTTAAAGTATAAAGGATTTCTTCGCCAAAACAACTTCCCAGCAAAATGACTACAGCACGTATCTGAAATCTTTGTTCTCAAATTCAGTCCGGTCCTGCATTCCGGCTTCATTACTTCTAGCCTTGTCAGCCGGACCGTAGCGTGAGTCACGACGGCGATTGACGATAAACATGTAGCCTAGGCTCATTAGCGCCGGTTTCCAGAAAAAAGGGACTTGGATCTTACCAAGCAATAGAAGATGGCATGATGCCTTGATTGCGTAGCCCACTAGCAGACCAATCGTGGCGCCCTCGTATCGAGGGGCCTGCGATGGCTTCACCACAAAGGGCCCCGCAAAGTTACCCCAGCAATAGGCAGTACTACAATAAGTTAGCTCAAATAACATATATAAAGCTCAGACTGGGTAATACTTACAACACGAGAGCGTTAGCCATAGCCCGGTGGGTATAACCAGCCATATTGGAGGAAATGGTCACCAATGAGACCGTGAAGCCGACAGATTGTGCATTTACCAACCAAAAGCAAACCAGTCTCTGCCATTTCTGCTCTCTAGGAAGATAAGCCATACAGGCGGCAGCAACGGTGCAAAGGATATTGGCAGCAGTCGAGGTGAGCAGTCGGGAATTGGGTACGTTCAATGTGATAGTGCCACCGATAATCAACGCAACGATAACAACTGCATCACCAACGGATTTCAACTCTGTAGTTATCGTTTGGGAGAAGCCCATGTCCTTGATAATGATCGTCGAGAAAGAGTTGACAACACCGTTGGGAATGGCAGCAGCAAACACGGAGATAAAGAGTAGGATGGCCTTTGGATCCTTAAACGCGACCATTCCCTGCTTCGTGTCAAATGTCTTGTTCTTGATACCAGTTTCGTTACCGGCGACACGCTTGACCGCAATGATGCGCTCAGATTTGGTTAAGAAGAAGGCACTTGAAGGCGAATCGGGCAGAACGAAGAATATCACAAACGCCCAGAGACAAGTGGCGCCTCCGAGAATATAGAACAACAGCTCCCAGCGTGCTGGGCTCATGTCAACTGGAAGATTAGTGATACCGAACGAAATGTAGGATCCGACAATGCCCCCCCAGCCAAGTGCCGAGTACCATATACACTGGCGAAGAGGGATTTCCTGTCGTGTGTACCAGAATCCGGTCATGAGGGTCAAGCCAGGTGTGACAGCGGCTTCAAAGATACCCATTATGAAACGAACACCCAAAGCACTGGGGTATGTATGGCATTGGGTCATGATAATAACCATCAATCCCCACATCATGCAGCTCACTCCCAATACACGTTGAGCAGGGAATCTTCCAACGAGCCATCCACATGGGTATTGACCAAAGAAGTAGCCAGCATACACCACTAAAATAGGTTAGATTTTTTTCATTTCCTAGGCCAGTTCTTTGAAGGAGAAACACACTTGCTGAAAGGTAATTAAACTGTTGACCTTTCAAGTTCAGGCTCTCCTGGTATCCGAGTAGGTTCGCATAATTCAAGGCCGTCTTGTCCATGAACTGCAACGCTTGTGTGACGAGGAAGATAGGGAGTACAACGAAATCAATCTTCCATCTGGTTTTGGTTTCCTAGAAAGTTCTCGATTAGAACTCAGCTGCAAGACGGCCGGGAAAAAGCCCACTCACCTCCTTTGCAGTGAACTCAAGGTGCAATCCTTCTCGATATTCCCTATATCCGACCGCATTTTCCTAGAAGAGCGTCAGACCAGACCTCCATGAATGCTCTTAACATAGTTATCGTACCTGGTAGGTCGAAATCGCCTTTGCTTCCTCGATATCGTCGTGAAGAGGATTCTGCAAAGGGTCCGCCTGCTCAATATGGATATTGTCGGATCTTTCCTGCTTTGACGACATTGCAAAATGTGCAAGGCACTGTAGTATTGCAGGCCGAAAAACGGTTTACAGCGTGCCTTTTACCCAAATAATCTATCTGGAACCAGTAGGACTTAAAGTCCCAACATTCTCCGCGTTCGCAGATTACGGGGGCCAATCCCCAGAAACCGGACAACTTCCGTGGCCACCTCGCCTCCGGCGGATGCCCGCTGTGTCTCACTAGTCAATTCCAATTTCGTTGGAAAATTAAACTGTGATAAATACGATCGGCAGTTTTCCATAGTATTCATATATCTGGAAGGCTAGTACGTGAACCTTTGTTACTTTTACTTTGTTTTGTTACCCCATCTATCATCATACAATGTCACCTTCTGGTAACGTCGACCAAAGCAACACCTGGTTGGCCCAGCCATCAGGACCTTGTTGTCTAGAGGGAACCCTTCACGAAGGCACTTCACGTGGGCGTTTTATAACGGTTGCCGGTGTAGAAACTTACATCGTGAAGCCTAAGAAGAGCAACACAAATGGTCATATCTTACTTTACTTCCCTGACGTATGGGGAATGTTTCCGAATGGTCTCCTGGTGATGGATGCTTTTGCGGACTCTGGCTATCTTGTACTAGGGCTTGACTACTTCAGAGGTGTATGCTTTTCTCGGATTTTTCATCTTTTCTCGACCAAGCTGATTGTTTCTAGGATCCGGTTTGGAAACATCGTCGCGATCGTCATGATAGATCAAATCCAGACTTCGACTACGAGGCCTGGAAGCGAAAGCATATGTCCTTTGCGGATGAAGCAGTCCCACGGTGGGTCGATGAAGTGAAGAGCTCGTATGGCCAGACATCGACGAAGTATGCCTGCGTTGGGTATGTAATTTCCTGCTTTTGTCAATTTTTGGGAAAGCCCTGACCTCAAGCCTTGATTCAGATATTGTTTTGGTGCCCCATATGTCTGCGACGAGCTGTCCAAGAACACCGTCAGCGCTGGTGCATTTGCACACCCGGCCTTTTTGAAAGATTCTCATTTCTCAAACATCACCAGTTCGTTGCCCTTGATTGATTTACTCACCCTGGTTAAGATACTAAAATATCTCAACAGAGCCACTACTTCTGTCTTGTTCTGTAGAAGATCACACGTTTCCTCTAGAAGCCAGACAGGCCGCTTTAGATATCCTGGAGGTGGGTCAAAAGACCCATCAATTCCAGATGTTCTCTGGTGTATCGCACGGATTCGCTCTACGAGGCAATATGAAAAACCCCTATGAACGTAAGAAATCATTCTTTGCTATACATTCACCCTGGATCTTGAAAATTAACATTCCCCAGGCTACGTAAAGGAGCAGAGTTTGAAGGTAATTGTAGAATGGTTTGACTTTTGGTTGTCGCAATAGTTTAGGCGATGGCATTATCCTATCGATTGAAATTGCTATAGAACGTAACTTTACTTGAATAAGCCTGAACGAAAGTATTCCCCTGAAATGGTGTGTCATGCCTTGTTCCCATAACCTTTTGAACTTTCCCACACGGGAGATAAATGTAGAGATAGTGAAACTAGCTTGAAGGTATTGTAACACGCGCTCGAATTCTCACTTGGTGACAAAGCCTCTATGATCATTGGGTTATGGATAGACCGGGCCCAGGCTACAATCCACAGGGGTCGGCATTAAAACCACCCGGGAAGCAAACCTAGGGGATCCCGATGTCAAACCGATTTGCCGTTTAACAATTCCCCAGGGAGACCAAAACTGAGTTTTTGTGGGGTTTCCAAAGCCTCTTTGACAGTTGGGGCCGGGGAATCGGCGGATGGCCGAATACGCTTTACTAACTTCATAGCCACCGGAGGATGGCCGCCTACTGTTGTACTCATGTTCCAAGGATGGATGACTCTTTATAAAGGCCCCTTGCAAGGAACTTTATTCCTAAAAACTGCAAAAATCACTTTGTATAACAATATCTTTCAATATGACCGCTGCTAAAGCTTTCGAGTTCACTGGTGAGGTGGCTATGGTCACCGGTGCTGGATCTCGCATGCCTGGTAAGTTCAATTCGATCTATTGCTTTATTATGCAAGTTAATACTCACAAAGTCTAGCCGAGATTGGCAATGGTCGTGCAACTGCTATCTTACTCGCCAGACAAGGTGCCAAGGTGGCACTAGTTGACTATAACGCCGAATGGGCTCAAGAAACTAAGCGCATGATTGATCTTGAGGGCGGTGTGTCAGAAGTCATACAGGCTGATGTAACTGATGAGGAAAGCTGCAAGAATGCTGTGGCTAAGACCGTCGAGCTGTTCGGAACTGTGAACATTCTGGTCAACATTGGTAAATTTCCATTCGCACGTCGTAAATTCTACGGAATCTAATTAAAACTACTAGTCGGAGTTGGCGGTGCCATGGGAGATGCTACCAAGCTTGATCTTGCAGCTTGGGAACGCGACTTTAAGATCAATGTCACCAGCATGGTCCTTATGAGTCGTCATGCCATTCCTGAGATGAGGAAGAATGGACGAGGTGCCGTTGTTAATATGTCCTCAGTCAGCGGTCGTAAGTCCCCATTGGCTCTCGGTTTCTTGAATATCTCTGACATGAAATACAGTTCTCGGTGGGAACCCCAGTCTTTTGTACCCCACAACTAAGGGTGCCATTATTCAAATGACCCGTGCCATGGCTGCCCAGCACGGCCCTGAAAATATTCGGGTTAACTGTGTTTGCCCCGGAATGGTGTTCACCCCAATGGTACGAGGGAGAGGCATGACGGATAAGATGCGCCAGGATCGTATCAACCAGAACCTATTGAAGCAGGAAGGTACAGGATGGGATGTTGGTTATGGTATGAGATTATCCCATCGGACCAGTACATTTACTAACATTGAATGAACAGCTATTCTCTTCCTTTGCAGTAACGAAGCGAAATGGATCACTGGCTTGATCATGCCCGTTGATGGCGGCGTAAGCTGTTCCCTTTTTCAAGCATACCATGAGACTCAATCTAACCTCTCTTCAATAGACCACCGCCGGAAAAGCAGACAGACCAGCCCTGAAGTCTGATACCCTCGCCGAGCAGAACACGAGGATCCCCAATAATGCTTAAGCAATAGCCATATTATCTTCATTGGAGCTTTGAATAGAATAATTTAGACAAATTCCATTCCATTTCAATTTACTCTAAGATAAGCTTCATCACAAGCTTTATAAGTAGACCTATCGCGCGAACTAGATAACTATCTCCCTGAGAGCGGGCACCTTGTTGCTAAGTTTCCGATCTCCTGATTCCGTTGTTGAGAATGGTTCCCCCACTAGGTAATATCCAACCGTTTTCCTTTGATACATCCTCTACCAAATACAGAGAGCGGCCTAGAAGAGTCCAAAGGGTCGTTTTAAAAACCGCTGATTGTCCAGAGACGATTTACCCCCCCCCCCCCCCCCCAAAAAAAATCATTGGCTCGTTCAAATCCCAATTAGGTCTCATACAAGGTTTGCAACCAGCTCATCAACACTCTTCATCTCACGAGCATTGTTTTCTCCAACGTCCAGCGCCACAAGTATCCTACTTACACAGTTGTACCCCGCAACCGTGGCAGTAAGCTCAACAATATCTCGGTCTGACAGCTCTGCCTTAAGAAGTTGCTGGAACACATCATCAGAAACAGTGACGGCCTCCGTCATAGCATCGGTATAAGCAAGAACAGCTTGCTGCCTCGCCGTGAGACTGGACGACTTCCAGGCATCGATGCTTTGCTCGGTCGCTTGGCAGGACGATGGAAGTGATCGCGCATCCTGCAACGCTGACGCTGTAAGTCCAGCCTTCAAAGCAAGTGGAGCGTGAATATTCCATTCGTAAACGGCATTGTTCAAAATGGCTATGCGACTGATGGAAAGTTCCAACAAAGCCGGATCCAGGACTGTTTTCGAGCGAAGTGATCCAATGAAATGGTTGTAGCCATCTGCGACAGGAGGGGCATGCAACAAGGAAAGATCAAGTGCAATCAGGGGCCTTGGTGTACGCCTGGCAGCGATGCGACTGTAGATTTCATATGTCTCAGGATTCGAATCCCCCGGAGCCTGAGGGGCGTAGGGAAGACGCATGTTGGTTTGGAGAGATGAGTCAAGAATTAGATCCGAGGAGACAATCTTCATAAGACTCAGGGGGTAAAGTTGATGTCAATGGGTCAAATCACCTATAAATTGCTTTCTAACGCTTAGCCGACATTTATCTTGGGATGTATATTGACTTTCTGTATGATTATATTCAGCCAAGGACATTGCGGCCATTTTCCGACCCTAAAATAATTGGGTCGAGGGATGAATTTTGACTCGTGGCGGAGAATGGCCGGGTGGCGAATCCCCGGCAAACGGCCGATACCCCAAGGATCTCTGGGACGCCTTCAGAGGGTTTCTCATGCATCATCTCTGAAAACTGACATCTTCCTGTCTGGGATCTTATCAAAGCTTCTGTGATAAATTATGGAATCCGCAAAGCGCAAGAGAGCTCGCAACGCGTGTCAGAGATGCCGAACTCGCAAGGGGAAGTGCACAGCAGATTTTAAATTTCCATGCAGCAGCTGTTTGGCTGTAGGGACGCCGTGTTTCGTGGTTAAACGAAAGCAACGTCCGTCACAAGCGGAGCGCAGGTAAGCCTAAAGTCAGACTGGCTTATTGAAAGAGAAGAAGGCTAATGCTCAGCCAGAGGTTTACCTTTGCAGGACGCTGCAGGTACAGCTAAAAGCATCGAATCAACAACTATAGGCAAAAAAACTCCTGAAAATAGGAACTCAATGCCAGAACACGAGGAAATTCTCATACCGGAAGACGCTTCATCACCGGCGCATAAGACCCGGGCATCATACGCCAACTGGGATTCAATGTCAGAGAAACAACAAAGCTATGCAAGTTTTTCGCCTCAAAAGTCGGCAGCGGAAGAAACACACGATACGAGAGTCGATTCTATCATACACTATTCATCTGGTTCAGCTGCATTTGCTGCCGATCTTCGACTCGCCTCCTGGCTTATGGTTTGTCCAT